CTGTGCCTGGGTTCAGCCAGAGGCATGCATGTATTCACACTGGCAGGCGACACACACCAGGCAAGATCACCCCCGTCAGCAAGATGCTAAACTTTAACTTGGCCTCTCTTCCTCCTCCCCTCTCTCTTTAAACTGACTTCACTCTTAAATTGTAATTTGGAATTTCAATGACAGGAGGAATGAGAATATGCATGTAGCAGATTTATCTTCCTTAAATTTTCAAAGACTCAATCTGAGGACATCATAGATCTTAGCTTAATTCACTGACCTGATTTTATATGTTTTTAAAATTTACTCATTTTTATAACGATAGTTTTTGTGTGCATTTTTCTTTATTTTTTAATTTATCTTTGTCAAAGTGTTACAGATGTCCTCCTTTTCCCCATCCAGTGCCCCTCTCTTCCCCACTCCTGCACCCTCCCCAGGCCTTTATCACACTACTGTCTGTGCCTGGATTATGCATATATGCATATAAATTCTTTGGTTCATCTCTTCTCACCCTCACCACCCCATCCTTTTGAGATTCCTCAGTTTGTCCCATGCTCCCATGTCTCTGGACCTATTTTGTTTGTCAGTTTATTTCATTCATTAGATTCCACATATAAATGAGATCATGTAATATTTGTCTTTCTCTGACCTGCTTATTTCACTTAACATAATAATCTCCATGACCTAATCTTACTGAAGGACAGCAAATATCAAATCCTAATTTGTGACCCAGAAGTAGACCCAGGATTGTAATGACAAACTCTGTGCAGGGTTTTTATTTCCTAAAAAAGGCTGATATCTCCAGTGATTATCTTAACAAAGGGGCATGGGATTAACTATCTGTATGCCAACATGAGTGGAAATTTAAAAGATTTGTTTAAAATAAGTAACTGCAATGTCATTGTAAAACTTAATAAAAGGAAGATAAACAACCCAATTAAAAAATGGGCAACATATCTAAATAGATACTTTTCAAAAGAAGACATAAGGAAGGCCAGGAGACTTATGAAAACATGCTCAAAGTCACTAACCATCTGAGAGATGCAAATCAAAACAACAATGAGGTGTACCATCTCACATCTGTCAGAATGGCTGTCATCAACAAGTCAACAAACAACAAGTGCTGGCTAGGGTGCAGAGAAAAAGGAACCCTCCTGCACTGCTGGTGGGAATGCAGACTGGTGCAGCCACTGTGAACAGTATGAAGTTTCTTCAGAAAGCTAAAAATGAAACTCCCATTTGACTCAGTGATCCCACTTCTAGGAATATATTCCAAGAAACTAGAAACACCAATCAGAAAGGATATATGCACCCCTATGTTCAGAGTGGCAGATGAGTGGATTAAAAAAAATGTGGTACATCTACACAGTGGAATACAATGCTGCAGTAAAAAAGAAGGAATTCTTACCATTTGCAACAGTATGAATGGAGCTGGGGAGCATTATGCTAAGTGAAATAAGCCAGTCAGAGAAAGATAAATATTACATGATATAACTCATTTATAGAATATAATGAACAACATAAACTGATGAACAAAAACAGATCCAGCAACAGAAAAGCATCAATCAGATCCGTCAAACCTCAGAGGTGTTTTGGGAAGAGATCAACCAAAGAACTTGTATGCATGCATATAAGCCTAACCAATGGATACAGACACCTGGGGAGAGGACATGAGTGTGTGTGTGGTGGGGAGGGGAGCAATGAGGTGATAAGGACATATATCTAATACCTTAATAAATAAAGAAAAAAATAAAAATAAAAACTTCTGTCAAATTACTTCTTTAAAATGTCACTTTGTTTCATTGCATGCACTCTTTTGATGGAATGAATCACTCTGCAGGAAACTGTCCACAGATTGTGTCCATGTGTATACATTCCACATGGTGTGGACCAGGCCAAATCTACAAACCAAATGGCTTTAAAACTAATTATATATGCTATAAAAGCAAAAACGTTTAAGTCAGGTTAGCACTGCCCTGAAATAAGCTAGGAACAGGAGAAAGAAAAGAGGAGAAAAGAAAGGTGGTAAGGAAGACAGGAAGAGAGAAGGAACCTGAACTCTTTGTCAGAGGAAAGGGCAGAGTCAGCTCTCTAAGTAATTAGTGCTCCAATTTATCAACTCTGCTTTGGGGGAAGATTTGGAAAGCAAGGAACTGCTGTTAAGTTATATATTCTCTGAGAAATGACTGATATTCCAGTAGGAAAAGGAACTGACTTAGTTCCCCAAATCGATTCATGGGCATAAAGAATATTTTCTTAACACATAGGCCCCCAAATGAAATGCTGGTCACTGCACCACAAATTTGTTTTCTTTTCAGATAAAACCTTTGACAGAAACAAAGCAGCTATAGATTTTTAAGGCATAAATTACTATGTTTATTGGACAGCAATTACCTGGTATTTTCATAGGGGCAGTTCAAGCGATTTAGAGTCCTGTCTCTATTTCCTGCCTTCTCTGTGTTCCCATAGGCCGGTGGTCAGCAAACTACAACTCGCGAGCCTCATGGTGCTCTTTGGCCCCTTGAGTGTGGCTCTTCCACAAAATATCATGGCTTGAGCAAGTCTACTTCTTTAAAGAAGTGGTATTAGAAGAAGTTTAAGTTTAAAAACTTTGGTTCTCAAAAGAAATTTCAATCATTGTACTGTTGATATTTGGCTGTGACTAATGAGTTTGCCGACCACTGCCACAGGCTACAAGTCATGGGACTATGTCTACAGCACACAAAAGCTTGAGGGGGACAAAGTGTAAAATGTGTGGTAGCCATGAATATGTGCTGTTGGATGAAACTGTGCAGGAGGTGATGACCTGGCTGTGTAAAGCCAGCTCCTTTCCACCTTGGTGGAAAAGACGGAGGGTTCTGGTGCTCACTCCCCTGAGTCGGCCCACACAGCAAGGCTTCACCTACAGAAACCACAGGTCAAGACTGTCCTTGATCTCCAGGGCAGCATTCAGACTCCAGCACGCAGCGGTGTTTCTCAAGCACTCCTCAGCTGTTGAGGGACTGTCTTAAGACAGATCAGGTTTAAGGCACCTCACATCTGAGCAGAGAGGAGGTGTGACAAAAATTTACTGCTGGCCCTTGGGAAGAATTCAAGGCAAGGACGTATCAGAGGCCATTTGTTCTCCACAGAACTTGAGATGGCCCACTGTCTGCTACGAAAGCCTAAAATAGACTGACTTATTTTAACTTCAAAGAGCTGACTGTCTCAGGCCAAAGTGAATGAGGTCACTGTGGAGGAGTGGAGCAGTGAGTTCACCATTGCTTCCATTAGTCCAGAGCAGTAGTCAGCAAACTGTGGCTCGAGAGCCACATGTGGCTCTTTGGCCCCTTAAGTTTTTAGGGGGCTAAACGAGTCCCCTCATTAAGTTAATAGCAATGTACCTACATATACAGTTTAAGTTTAAAAAATTTGGCTCTCAAAAGAAATTTCAATCATTGTACTGTTGATGTTTGGCTCTGTTGACTAATGAGTTTGCTGACCTCTGGTCCAGAGCATCACTCACACTCACGCCCAGTCATGTTCAGGGCCCCAGTGTTTCTGTTGACTGGGATTTTCACTCCACCAGCAACTGCAGTCACCTTCTCCCATCACTTGATTTCTAAAACCCTTAGTCAAGTGTTAATGTATTATAGTTTAGATCACATCCTCTACTCACAGCCTCTGGCTTTCAGAGCTGCAAATGAACTGTCTTCTAAGTGGGTGGAGCACTTATCTCCTTCTACTATCTGTGATGAATCTGTCTAGCTTTGTGTTTTGCACCTTTATTTGAATTTTCACCTGGCCATTGAGACTACCTTCTTCTCAAGCTTCTTTGCATCTTCCAAAATGATGTAAGTGTTAAAGCTATTTTTGAACCACTGATTTCAAGACTTTTTAAAATAAAGTTTGTGGGCCATGGGACCTAGTAGAAGGATCCAATTTTCTTTCACTTCAGGATCTCATTCTTAAAATCCAAACGTCAAATATAGGCAAATCCAAAAATCACATGGGGTTATATTTGAGAAATTTACTAATGACTGAGAATTAAATGTTTAAAGTCATTATCTTTAATATCATATATGTTTCAAAAGAGAGAATTCAAATTGCTATTCCAATTTGACCTATAAAAACACAAATACTATATAAAATAGTGTCTGAACTCCCACCTCACAGTTCTGTATGCAAGCATATTTGTGAGTTTCTTAATGTATAAAGGCCATATCCATAATCTCTCCTTTTACAGATGCTTCAGCTGGTTTTTCTTTTCTGTTTGAAGACTTTGATGCTGCTGTGGTGTGCCGGCCCCAGGTGTTCCCCTTGCCTCCTGCCAGCAAGACTTTTGCAATCACCAGGCTAAGCAGCAGGAAAGCCAATATCTGTTTTGAAAGTGTGTACTACCTGATCAAATGCTGGTCATCATTACATTGGTAATTTAATAAATAATCAATACTTTTGCATATCAATCCTTGCATTGGTAATGATAATAATGCGTTACTTAATTTTAATTAAACTTGTAATATATCTTTCTGTATATTCTCAATAAAAGGCGCACCTGCTCATTGTGAATTATGCTTAACAATTATGAAATAAGATTTCACTGACTACAAAAATGATGTCCCTATTTTGTATACTTAGGTTTTAAATCTCAGTATAGGACATTTAAGTCCATAGTTTATATGCAACGTATAAAGTTATTCATTCATACAGGCTTTAATAACATTGTAAAGACAGAATTCATTTAAGAAGGTTTTAAACTGAAGTAAGAATATACACTTCAGAATTTGAAAACTTGTTTGCTGATACATTATGCAGGTGGTGTGTGTAAGAGTGGTGCTGTTATCAGTTCTATGACATCTCAAGACTTAACCTTTTGCTCACCTGAAGCTGCTGTGAAACAGACTTTAAGTGTGAACTCAAAGAGTAGGAAAGTGCTAGCGCCTCACAGAGCAGTGATCAGTGAAGTCATGCATGCCTGTTTGATGCACTTCCAAGCATGATGTCAGTGCTTTTCCTAACACGGAAAATGTTACCTTCTTCTTGAGTGACTGTTCCACTTCTTGTATGTGCAGGCTACTTGCAACAGTCGCTTTGCTGTACTCCTGCTTTCTGGTAAGTCTGTTTTTCCAATCTTCCTCCCCACTCTTCTTCAGCAGTGCTAATCTAAGAGGAAAACATGTCAACCGAAGAGTTCAGCAACATACTCTTACTTGTGATAAAACCATAATGTAGATGAGTTAGAAGTCTTTGGCCATTAAATGACCACAGTTACCTAATTTTAATCTTTCTGAATTTCATTTATTCTGAAGTATGTCTAAAAAAAATAATATAGGCATCCCCTTCTAAGATGACCCCAAAGATTTTAAAGTTGAAGGAAATGAAAAGCTATAATTTACTTGCCAGATAAAAACTGCATTATCATTCCACAAAAGAAATAGCTGTTATTTTTCCTTCTCCTTGGGCTGAGAGCATGACCCCAGAAAAACATGTAGGCTAGTGGCCCCTTCTGGTCACTTGATAAAACAACATTTAATGACTTGCTAGGTAGTAACTTACTTGGAGAAAATATAGCAGAAATTGGTTTAAAAACTTAAAGCTATAAAACACTGACAATCTCTTAACATCGTATCTTTCAATTACAGGGAAAGAAGATGTTTAAGATTGTTTCTCTTTCTGTATCCTAAGCCCTGTTTTTTTCCTCCAAACAACCTTGGTCTTTCCAATCTATCCTTTTAATACAGAAACTTCTCTACAAACCCAATTTAAAAATTATTACTTCAACTTTCCTCAGGGGAAAGCTATACACAAAAAAAGAATTTAATTAACTGAGATTTTTACCTAACCTACTTTATTTCAACTATAGTGTGACCTGATATAAAGCAACTTAAATGTTATAACCTATGAAAGGTTCTTTTGGTGAACATGAGGCTGTTTCAGCTAATTCTACTGTAACGATGAAGAATACTTACCATTTAACTTAGATAAACATCTATACTAATAAAAGGGTAATATGCTAATTATACTGGACATTTTCCGGACGTCCTTCCTGACAAAGCTATGGTAGAGGCTGAGGCAGAGGTGGTTAGGGGCAATTAAGCCAGCAGGGGAGAGCAAGCAGAGGCAGTTAGGGGTTATCAGGTAGGTAGGCAAGCAAGTGGTTAGGAGCCAGTGGTCCCACATTGTGAGAGGCCCAGATTGGAGAGAGTGCAGGCCAGGCTGAGGGACACTCCTCCCCCCGCCCCGACGTGCATGAATTTTATGCACTGAGCCTCTAGTAGGAAAGATAAAAGGAAAAAAAAAAAACAAAAAAGGGTGATCCCTAAACTCATATGAGCTAATGCTCAACAACTTCAAAGATTGGGGAAAAAAATAATTAGACCCCCTTTAGACTCCCTTGACCTCTCTGCCCAGCCTGCTGGGCTGTGCCTTTTACATATCATTAACACATGCTCACAAATAGCACACCAGCTCTAGTCTGGCCATTAACTCTGGTTAAGTAGCCTGGTCTCCCTTCCTTATTGGTCATTTTTGGAACTGGACTAGATGGTCTCAAAGAACCCTTCAATTAAGTTTCCTGATTCAATTAAATATTTGAATTGGAGATGGGATGTGATATACTCCATGATAAAATTTTGTTAAACAAATAAGAAACATTTTGCAGTACTTAATAATCCATTTACATTTATAAATTCGTACATGATCACACCTTATACTTGTCCATTCATTCAGTCAAATAATGGGAAGTAAGCTATGAGAAAAAGAACTCCCCAAAGGGGGCAGGAGTTTCAGATCCCCGCCCCAATCACTTCTTTCCCTTTCCCTTCTCTTCCTTTATGCTTCAGGACAGCAGTTGGATCTCAAATGTCCATTCTGTAAAACTGGTATAATGTCACCTTTTCTCTCTGTGATATTGTGACTTACAAGAAGAAATACACATTTTGTCTTTGGCCCAGAACTCCTAAAACTCCTGGAATTTCCTAAGTGATGAGAACCATAAAGTGTCTTTTATTGTTAATGGCATGACTTTTGGGAATCACCTAAATATAGGGGCTAATGCCAGGAAAACCAACCATATAATTAGAAGGCTGAAACTTACAGCTCCATCCCTGACCTCTCCAGAAGGGCCTGGGGCTGAAGATTGATTAAATTATTGACTATTTGCAACTGAACTTAATAGTGCTTATGTAATGAAGCCTTCATAAAGACCCAAAAGGACAGGGTTCAGAGAGCTCTTGCGTTGATGGAACATGGAGACTTGGGGAGAGTAGTGCGCTTGGGACAATGTGGAAGCCCATTCCCATATTCCTTGACCTACACATCTCTTCCACTGGCTGTTTTTGAGTCACATGCTTTCATGATAAACTAGTGATCTAGTAAGTAAATGTTTCTCTGAGTTCTATGAGCTGCTCTAGCAAATTAATTAACCCAAGCAGGAGGTCGTGGGAACCTCTGAATTATACCTAGTTACAAATAACAACCTGGACTTGTGACTGGCATCTGAATTGGGGGTGGGAGTTCATCTTGTAGGACTGTGGTATCTGATGTTAACTCCAGATAGAGGGTGTCAGAATTGAGTTGAATTGTAGGACACCAGCTGGTGTTAGAATTGCTTGGCTATTGGAGAAAAAAACACATACGTTGGAAATTGAAGTCAGAATCTTACTAAGAGAGCCCCCATTTGGCTCAAGGATCAATTTAGTCTTAAATTCTATGATCAATGATGTTTGACAAAACTCTGAATGCTACAAAGGCTAGTTCATGTACTTGAAAACAAATTCTAAATCCCTTTCAGGGTTTTCATCTGAAGTTCAGTCTATATATAACTAAGATTTATATTTTCTCCAATTATTCTCAGTGAGTCAGCTTTTTCTAATAAGAAGAATCTAACAAAATGAAATCATGAAAAGATATAATTAGTATTTGCATGCTGCAGTAAAGCTTTCAGAGTTTTCAAAATATCTATACATGAGACTTTCAAAAAGTAAATTTTTACAGCCAAATGAAGGGGTACTTCTAATTCATTGTCCTGTGCAGACAGACAGTCATCTCACATATATTTCATGCAATCTGGTCTCATCTCTTCATCCTTGGCACAGACCAGTAGTAATTCATCTTGGTCATCTACCCTTTTAAGCCAATCAGATTTGATTTCAAATGATTTGAGAGAATTTAAGAAAAAATAAGAAATTCATCCTCAGGAGTTGGACTATTAAAAATAATGCACTACAGTTTTGAGGACCTTCTCAAAAAACAAACAAACAAACAAACAAACAAACAACAAGCTTCCAATTCTTTGGAGCAATGACAACATCATCTAAATAATCATTTGGTTTTCCTGGTGTCTGATTTGAAGAATTAAAAATGGACTTAGAAAAAAAAAATGAGTTGGGGAATCTTTAATCACTTAATAGTCAACTTTATAATCTGCTGATCGGTATAGCAGTTTCTAAGAAACTAATATTGTTATTTCCAATCTGACAGACAAGGAACAATGCACGAAGGCCCAGGATTTGGCTGACAGGAGCCACACTGTGTGTCAGTAGGTCTGGGAGATGTGGCTCCAACACAGGCATGTGCTGCCTCCCGCCAGGCTGGTTTCACAGCATTAATGCATGAGCTGATGAGGCACATGTTTGCCCTCAGGTTTCAGGAGCAGCACAGAACTCTGGCTTTCTTATAATGTTCTCCCTCCCCGCATCCCGGGATGGCCTTCAAAGATTCCTCCATTCCAAGAATCTGAAATCTTGCTTCTGGATGTGCTGGCAGGGCCACCATCAGGGACTTCCAAAGACTACAGAGTAACCAAAATAATCTGGATGAAAACTGTGGTTCAATTGAGCCCACATGGTCCTTGGCCCCAGCCCTAGCCTATGGAATGCTAATGGTGGATAACTTAAAAATAACACACGTTGAAACTTTAATGTATTATTCTGTCTCTTTAGATTTCCACAAGCAGAGCAGAGCAAAAGATCTTTCCAAATGCCTTCTTGCATCCTGCAGTCTCATGACCCTTCTGACTCACCGCACACAGACCACCGTGTACTGGAGAAGGCCGAGGAGCTAAATGTCTAGCCTTACACATGACAAAAACTAAGGCCTATGCCATTCAAATGACTGTCAACACCTCTAACTCCTGCCAATTCCAAGTGCTATTTGAAGGGCTGTGATGTTGAGAGCTTGGGCATCTGTTTAGTCTGAGGCCGAGAACCTAGTGAGTGGCACTGTATTAGCCTATTAACCCCAAGGCTTGGCCAGGGCCACCAGGACATGTGCTTGCCAGGCCGCCTGGGGAAATAAATGTTCACTCCTCTTGCCACAGCCCACATCACACTTTCAGTGGCACTGACCTGACAGCCCTGCCTGACTAGAGCATGTTCTGCAGGCTCACAGCAGTCAGGGCCGGTCAAATATGGGAGGGGCAAACCATGTGCCCATGATCTTCAAAGTGTCTTCTTCCCTCTTAAAAATGTCCCTGCATTTCAGAGAATTACTGCACCTCATAGATTTCAGGTACGGCTGGTTAGTATTTACAATACCTTGGCTAGTTTGCTGGCCGAAGGAGTGAACGGACTTGTCTTTTAAATGAGGAAAAGCCAGAGACCAAAAAAGGAGGGTTAAAGGGGAATGATACCTTCATCCCTAATTCGTACATAAACCTGGGCCCTCTGGTGGCTGACATCTCCCAGCTACAAGGCAGGAACTCGGAGTCTGCTGGGGAAGCATGAATATAGCCTGTGCTGGGTGGAGGGCAACAGGGTGGGTGGAGGGGCATGCGGGGAACACAGCGGGATGCCAGCTGCTCAGCTAAGTCAGGATTCTGCAGGCTGGCAGGAGGCATGGGAGATTTTTCAATATTCTTCAACTAAGACCTCACATCCTACCAATTTCCCAAAGTGAAGGCATGGCTCCTTTGCCTTTTTTAGTAATCTTCCCCCTAAATATAAAAGCTCAGATTCAGTTGTTTCAGTAATAGTGGGTTCTAAAAGCCTCGTGTACTTTTAAAGAAGTATCAAAGGTTTTATGCCTAAATAACATAAAGATGATTTGATTTGCAATGCTTTTCCAAAGAAGTTCCCAAACAGGAACAATTTACTCTCTGACCATTTGGACAGGTATGAAACAGTGATTTTATTAATCAAATTAAAAAAAAAAAGCAGATTGTATTTAAGTTTTATGCTCATTAGGGTTTAAATTTGACATTCTAGATGTCAGAAAAGATGAAAAAAGAAAACATACTTTTATATATGTTTCTTCATGAGCATCAATCATATTCTGAAAGAGGAGTGGACTGACGTGGAAGAGTTGGAGTCAGCCTTGCTGTCAGTTCGGCTCACGGTGTGACCCTTGCAGACATTGGAACTGAACCTCTCCTTTGGCCAAATGAGGCAGTCAGAGGAAGTCAGAATAAGGTTTAAAAGTTCTATTTTATACTAGAGGCCTGGTGCACAAAATTCGTGCATGGGGGGGAGGGAGGGGTATCCTCAGCCCAGCTTGCACCCTCTCCAAACTGGGACCCCTTGAGGGATGTCCGACTGGGTAGTCAGACATCCCTATCACAATCCAGGACTGCTTGCTCCCAACTGTTCACCTGATTGCTGCCTGCCTGATTTCCCCTAACCACTCCGCTGTCAGCCTGACTGATACCTAATTGCTCCCCAATTGGCCTGATTGCCCCTAATTGCCCTCCCCTCCTGCCCTAGTCACCCCTAACTGCCCTCCCCTGCTGGCCTGATAGCCCCCTAAATGCCCTTCCCTGCATGTCTAGATCCCCCTCCCCCCTCACAACTGTCCTCCCCTGCTAGTCTAGTCACTTCCAACTACCCTCCCCTGCAGACTTGGTTCCCCCCCAACAATCCTTCCCTGCAAACCTGATTGCCCCTAACTGCCCTCCCATGCTGGTCTGGTCGTGCCTAACTGCCCTCCCTTATCAGTCTGGTCACCCCCAATTTCCCTCCTCTGTAGGCCTAGTTGCCCCCAACTGCCCTCCCCTGTAGGCCTGGTCCCCGCAACTGCCCTCTCTTGCAGGCCTGGGTCCCCCCATCTGCCCTTTCCTGCAGGCCTGATCCCCCCATTTGCCCTCCCCTTGAGGCCTGGTCCCCCCACCTGCCCTCTTTTGCAGGCCTGGTCCCCACCATCTGCTCTTCCCTGGGTCCCCCCCAACAGTCCTCCCCTGAAGGCCTCGTTGTCCCAAACTGCCCTCCTCTGCCAGCCCAGTCACCCCTAACTGTCCTCCCCTGCAGGCCTGATCTCCTACAACTGCCCTCCCCTGCTGGCCATCTTGTGGTGGCCATCTTTGACCACATGGGGATGGGCATCTTGTGTGATGGAGTGACTGTCATTTTGCATATTACCTTTTTATTATATAGGATGTCACCTCAAAAAAGAAAAGTAAAATCCCCAAAATTACATGGATAGTATTTCTTATTTTAAATAGGTCAAGTTTCATTATCTCATTTAACGAAGGGAGGGAATATAAACCCAATTTAGGGAAAAGTAAATGGATTGTAAGGACATATAGTTCAGCACAATGAAAGTAAAATTCCATCAAGATCAGGGGGAGCCCAGCTGGTGCGGCTCAATGGTTGAGAGTCAAACTAGGAACCAGGAGGTCACCATTTGATTCCAGGTCAGGCCACATGGCCAGGTGGTGGACTCCATCCCTAGTGAAAGGTGTGTAGGAGGCAGCCCATCAATGATTCTCTTTCATCATTGATGTTTTTATTGCTCTCCATCTCCCTTCTTCTCTGAAATAGATTTTTTTTTTTTGTGTGTGTGTGTGTGTGTGTGTGTGTGTGTGTGTGTGTAGATAGATAGCTAGAGAGAGAGATCGATCGTGGGGGATAACTGGCAAGATATTTCATATTTGCATAATTCATTATAAACACATCTGCTAAATAAAGTGCCCTGCATCCTTTTTCAAACATCATGCAGGCACACTTTGTTTTTTATGTGCTTCACTTTATTCATCTTCACAGATGTTGCATGCTTTACAAATTGAAGGCAAGACCCTCCACCAGTGAAAAAATTAGGGATCTCTTTATTGTGATACTTGCTTTATGGCAGTGGTCTGGAACCAAACCCAGAATAAACCTGAAGTGTGCCTGTATATTTAACAATTAAACTGAATAGCAGGATATTTAATAAGCATTCCTTACTGTTATGGCTCTGAACAGTTTGGGGTCACCCTTGGAGACTGAGAGAGGTTCTGTCTCCCACTTGCCAGAAAATGGCTGTGCACACACAGTCGATTGAACACTTTCCGGCAGTTCCCAGAAACCTAGCAGCTATCCTTGAACTCCTCAGTCATCCACAAAGCCTAGGTTAAGCAGCTGCACCTTTGCTAGTATGGCATCTCTCATTTCTAAAATGAGAGATTTACAGAATTCAAACTGCTTTCAGAAAGACACTAATCCATTAAAAAAATGTATTAAAAATAGCAAATAAATCAATAATTATCACACCATGCATAGACATAAAACTTCACCAAAAGTCCTAAGACCCATCAGATAATTATGTACTCAAAGATGAGGAAATACCCTCTCAAAGCCTTTAAAAGAAGGAGTATCTTAGTTTTTTCCATTGGAATTTTACTCCAGAAATATTTTCTGATCTATAGAACATCAGAACTGCATGTAGCAATATTTTCATTAATATCCTTAAATAAAATCTCTTTTTTCTCACCTAACCAGTTATCATAGTTGGATCTCTGGAGCATAGTTGACTTCTTTGAGCCAGGTGTCCACAGAGGATTCAGGCCAGTTTCCCATATTCAGGACATCAGTCCCCTCACTTAGTTTACCCCATCAGCCCTTCACTGATACCTCCTCAGTCTATTTTAGGTAAGATTTAACAACCTTGAAAATGGCACCATCTAATTAATATTTCAGGAATACTGTTCAAAAGCTAGGCTGGAAAACGGAGTGAAGAATTCTCATTGTGGCTGGGTATCCTATCGACTTGAAATGTAACTGAATGAATGAGAGTGACTGGAGTCTATTATATAGAGCAAGAAACTTCTGGGTGGCGAAAGGGGCATAACCATAAGGAACTGATGGTAGAAACAGTTCTGCTCACAAGACCTTTCTTCCTGCAGTGTTACATCTTCCTAACACTATTACATCTTTTGCTACTTAATTCAACTGAAGGTTAACAAGGAAAATACAGCTTGAAATATTTAGCTCCCATTCTTTGTTTCTATCCCATTTAAATATATCCTATCATATCAACCATCCATCATTCTTTTGAATTAAATGATGTTACGATGTTGATACTCAAATGTAATCTCTCATAGCTATTACCTGATACAAAATTTCTAAGTGCAGTTCATAAAAGGCATCTAATTTACTTTCTGTAAAACAAACAAAACTTAGATCTTAATCCCAAAAATTTATATTCTAAATGACGCTGGGCAGTGTGGCTTAGTTTTTGGAGCATTGTCCCAAACACCAAAAGGTGGCAGTTTGGATTTCCAGTCAGGGCACATACCCAGGTTCCGGGTATGATCATCCATCAGGGAGTGTGCGAGAGACAATTGATTGATGTTTCTCTCATTAGGATGTTTTTCTATCTGCCTCTCCCTAAAAATAAACAATACCAGTACACACTGATTTTCTAAATGAATTTATCTTCATTTTAAATGAATGTATCTTTGTTCTCTCAAATAAATATACAAATATGTATTTGTTTATATACATACTAGAGGCCTGGTGTATGAATTTGTGCACAGGTGGGGTCCGGCAGGCCCACCCTGATAGGGGCCAATGGGGCCAGGCCAGCTGAGGGGAGGGGCTGTAGGAGCTTAGCTGGTCGGCCCTGCCCAGATCAGGGTGTGGGGGCCTATCGAGGGCAGGGCTGGCTGGGAGGAGGGGCCACAAGAGGTTGAGGTGGGCCAATCGGAGCCCCGATCGGGCCTGTTGGCCACCACTGTGCGCATTATAGAGACTGGTCAATTCTGGTCAGTTGCCTTTTATAGATTTTATATAAACAGTCATAAACACTGAGTACATTAAATTTGATGCCATCTGGATCTGAAAGGGAAAGAGCCAAGCTCTCTGTTCCCATCACTGGATAGTAAAAAAATTTAATATAAAAAATAAAATAAAACTGTAAACAGATGAAGCAAGCAAATGTCTGTCTCTGTGGTTTCCTCATATGAGTCTGGAACTGGCCCTCATCCAGCCTTATCCGAGCAGGCAGGGAGTCACTGCAATTCACTCTTGACTTCCCCAAAGAATTATAATATAACAGCACATCTTACGTAGCTGGACTCACTATTTCATCCCTTTTCTGATTAATCAGATCTCTCCTTAAAAGTAAGTTGTAATTCCTCCCTAATAGAATTACTTTGTAGTCATTAAATCTGATTACCTTTCTTTAATTGACATGGTTTTGCTGGGTGAATCAAGGCTGCCCTCCACTGTTGGCATTCTGATCTCTCCAGCAGCAAACATCGCACATGGATTCTTATAGTGCTTCTCCTGTGGCAGCTCTGTAGGCTCTTGCTGCTTCCAGGACACTGGGGCTGCAGCTTGAACAACACTGTTCCCAGCAACTGTGCTGCTCTGCTCAGAAGTGGGTTCCCCGAACTCTGCCCCTGGGAAGGAAAGGAGTGACATCAGCACTTACTCCTCCAGGCAAGCATTCTTCCAGCTGTTCACCCCCCAACAGTCCTGCATTTGCAGCGCAAATCTTGGGCATATAGCCGGCTAACCAATCCAGTGGAATTTATGCAAATCTGTGGCAACTACATGGCATGAGAAAATCAAATTTCCCAGTAGGCTACTCCATACAGCAAAAAAATGATCTCTTCCTGTGTGTCAGACACAGGAAGTTAGCTTTAACTGTAAACTACAAAATGTTTCTGTTAGGTTTGATCAAGCAATTGAATTGATACTCCTCCCCAGGGAACTGGCTTTTCAGGTCATTTCACTGAGACCACATTTCACTTGTGACCACATTCCATTCTCTCCCCTCCGGGTATGCATAAAGAAGTCTCTGCCCAGAGAAAGCCCACCCAAAGTCCTTGAATAGCTGCTGATTCCCCTCACTGGGGGCTGGAGCTATCCAGGCTCAGCCTCCTGGTGTGCAGATGATCAAATAAATTTGTAATCCCTGCCGGGACTGCTTTGGCTCAGTGGATAGAGCCTCGGCCTGCGGACTGAAAGGTCCCGGGTTCGATTCTGGGCAGGGGCATGTACCTTGATGGTGGGCACATCCCCAGTGGGGGGTGTGCAAGGGGCAGCTGATTGATGATTCTCTTTCATCGATGTTCCTAACTCTCTATCCCTCTCTCTTCTTCTCCGTGAAAAATCAATAAAATATTATAAAAAAAGAAAAAGAAAAAAAAGTTGTAATCCCTCACCATTCTGGCCTTACAGTTTCTACTCCTCCAGGGAGTACTTTTGAATGTGCCATAGCCACAAGCCAAAACCATTATTATAACTTACTATCACTTAATGTAAGTGAAGAAAGAGAAAGAAAGTCCCATGCAATAGAGCTTGCTAGCCTACATATGAGGAATGCAGACCTGGGTTCAAATCCTGCTACCTTCACTTACCCAGCCCTGGACATTTGGGGTCATTAACTCATAAAAGGGACCAACAGAGCTAGCAGTTGACAAGGCTATTCTGTGTTTTAATGTGACCAAAAACGTCAAGTACCCTTATCAAGATGTGTGAAAGAATGTCAGGTATTTTTACTGATGAAAAAATTGATAATCCACCAAATAAGTGAAATTAAAGAGGAAAAAAAAAGTATAGGGGAGAGTAGGATCCACAGTAAAATTTTAATCAACTAGTTATAAAGTGCCCTCATGATTTAATTAGAAACAATCACAAACACAGGCAAACAATCCAGCAGAAGCTAAAAACCCAGTCAGTTTCTCCAACTTTAGGAGCAATAGCAACTTACCTCTCAGCGAAAACTTTCTCTTTGTGACACTCTCCACATCCACCTTCTCTTCAAAGGGCTGCCTACCCTTCAAGTCTGGGCTCCCCTGAATGGTGCTCTTGGCAGTGGAAAACTCCTCGTCACCAGGGTGGGAGACAGGGGCATTTGGTAGCTCTAGGCTTCCTTTTCTCGGAACATCATATTTAGGTTCTTTATGGTTGTCTCCTTTCTGGACGGGGTTGAGGATAGAGTAGGATGGCTCTTCTTCCTCAAAGGATCTGTTTTTAACACCACCATCTCTACCTGTCAAGATTCTCTTGCTTTCCGTCTCTCCATACTCTCTAAACATACCTTTGCTCTCACTGCCCTCTATTGAAGGCTGACAGAATTGGGGCTTTAGAGTGTTACTAATCGAAGAATCTACATTTTCTATTGAAGAAGGAAACTTATAGACAGTGACACTTGTGTTGTCATCCATGGATGGCTTTGTCCGAAGGTCTCCTGCGTACATAGGAGTGACTGTAGATGCCATGGTGGACACAGATGTATTAACAGTGGGCGAGAAAGGAATGAGCTTTCCACTTTGTACCTGGGAGGACAGAGTGAAAAAGGAAAGAGCTGATTTAAAAATAATGTCTAGATAAACCCCAGTGTATGGATTGACCTATACGGAAATATTACATTTGGTGCAGATTTACTCTTATCTTGTGGGAAACCAATGCTAGACAGTTACACAATGCATCTCATTAATCAGATCATCTGGGTGAGAAGCAGACTGTGTGTCCTATTTTCCTCTCCAAAACAAGAGCAATCCAGATAATTTCAGCAAGCAAATTACAAAAACAAGTAAAGAGAAACATACTTGGCATGGTGACTTGCTTAGGAATGAAGCCATTACCAAGTCATCTACAAGTAACACGGTGTACAGGTACATCACCATCATTATATCACGAACCTGAGATAACCCGGTGCTCCCATAGTTTGAGAACATACAAGAAAACTGGAATTTGATGACAGTGCACCCACCTGTTCCACCTCTCCAAGCGTTACCGGCTGAGTTTGATAGCGAGCATTCATTCTCCTCTGCCTTGTGTCTATTCTGTTTCGGGTAGAAATAGCCTTTGAGACAGGCTGGGACAATTTGTTAAACAAGGCCAACTTCTCTGCCAAGCTTAAAGTGGAGGAATCAGGTTCACCTTGTTCAGCAGAATCTTTGCCCTCATTTGCCTGGTCTCTGGCTAGAGCCTTTTGGTGAGCAGATGCCTGTAATCTGAAAGGGAGAAAAAGTCAGTAACACAAATGAATACAAACACAAGCCCACCGCTAATTTCAAGTGTCAGTTTTGAAAGGGGCTTTATTTTTGCCGAGATACATTTAAGACAGGTGCAGGCAGTTATTGGGCTATTAAAGGAGACCGTAAAAAGCAAAGTAGTCGGGGTACACTAGCTTTGTCAATTTCACAAAGGGCAGATTTTTAGCTCTGAATTATCTCTAAAAATTGAATTTCCTGTCTTAAGAAATGGAGGTCAGCTTGGACATACCTTATTTTTAAGAAAACAAAAAACAAAACTTGTATTGTTAGTATCAATAATAAATAAGGCTAAAAGGAGACTTAAGGCATCAGCTATGGCATATTTAGACTGTATCTTAATACTAGAGGCCTGGTGCATGAAATTCATGCACGGGGGATGAGAGGTGTGTGACGGATGTGTCCCTCATCCCAGCCTGCATCATCTCCAATCTGGGACCCCTTGAGGGATGACTTACTGCCAGAATGGGCAGTTGGCATTCCTCTCACAATCCAGGACTGTTGGCTCCCAACTGCTTGCCTGTCTGCTTGATTGCCATAACTGCTTCTGCTTGCCAACCTGATCACCTCCTAACCACTCCCTTGCCAGCATGATTGATGTCTAACTGCTCCCCTGCCAGCCCAATTGTCCCTAACTGCCCTCCACTGCTGGCCTGGTCACCCCTAATTGCCCTCCCCTACAGGCCTGGTTGTCCCCTAACATCTGTCCTCTCCTGAATACCTGGTCCCCCCAACTGCCCTCCCTTACAGGTCTGGTCCTTCCCAACTGCCTTGTCCTGCTGGCCATCTTGTGGTGGCCATCTGTGCCCACATGGGGTGGCCATTTTTGACCACATGGGGGCAGCTATCTTGTGTGTTGGAGTGATGGTCAATTTGTATATTACTCTTTTATTAGATAGGATGTGGTTCAGCAAGTGGCCTTTTCAAATTAGCAAATAGAATAATCATGCTGTCCACAACTTTACCCACAACACAGTTTTGATTTTCACTTGCATTACTCTTTTATTAGATAGGATGTGGTTCAGCAAGTGGCCTTTTCATTTTAAATAATTAACAAATAGAATAATCATGCTGTCCACAACTTTACCCACAACACAATTTTTTCACTTGCTAAACACAAATGACTTAATTTTAAGTTCTTTTACTCTTTCACTCTAGCACTTTCTCTCATAGGTTTAAATCACTGGCTGATAGGGCTCTTTTGTTCTACTTTATGCACTTCTATACTGGCTGAAATTTTACAGTGAATGTGTATTTTTATAATTTGACATTAGAGATTAAAAACACAAAAACTCCAGTGGAAAAAAGTCTGTAATTCCCAGTAACTTGAAACATGAAGGGAATTTCAGACAATGGTAAGTCCCTCTGGCTCTCAGGCAGAGAAGGCTTCCAGTTACATGGCCACGGTGACTCCCCAAAGGTTTGAAACGAGCCCCCTCTGCCACTGGGAAACCCAATTCTCAGTCCAGTAAATAGTATATTCTGCCTTGACTCCAATTAATCACCAGTTCACATGTTGCTCCAGACAAAAGAGCAGTGTCAGTGTTTCAGAACACTAACGAAGGTGGCAACAGGCATCCTGTCTTGGTGTCTTTTCTGAGGTCAACAGGTGAACTGGGCGGGCAACCTCAACCTCCTTCCCAAGTGAGGTCTCAGGTTCTGGGCTGTGCCAGTTTTATTTCTGCACTGTCATTTTACTTCTTTTAGTCTTATTTTTAGCCTTTGAGTTTTGACTAGTATTTTAGGTTGAAGAATGACATTTCTTAGGGATGGCTATGCTTATGAAAAATAGAAACAAAGCAAATGGATGAATGAATTAGCGTAATCTTTGTTCCAACACATCAAGGACACAGGTAGATGAGATGTTCCTTGTGCAGAACTATAATACATGAAGCAATCAGTGTCTTGAACTATGACAAAGCATTCCTGGAACAACTCATCGCACTGACATGTCAAACAAATGAAAGCCACTCAAGGTTTTCAGACTCTTCTGCAGTCTGCCACCTTTGCCCTCGGGCCACATGCTGCTATTGCTGTCCAGTACCTGGCATGCTGCACAGTGCTCTTAGCTACACTGGGACTAGGAAGTCTTGTCATTACAGGGTGGGTGGCCACAGAGCAGGAAGCAGGGAGAGGTTCACTTTAAAGCAATTGCCAAAGAAGGAACATTCATAAGGAGAGAGAAGAAAAGAAGCATTAAGGAAAGCATAGTTTTCCATCCAGAAACGTGAAATCAAATATTTTTAAAAAATTATTTGCTCATTACTTTGGGAAAACCACTAAAGAACATGAAAAGCATTAACAAACTTAGGAAATAACAGACATGCTACTCAAAGTAAATGAAATAAGAATAGACTATCTTTAGAAGAAATGTCCTGGTTTAAAAAAGTAATTTAAAAGAAAGCTAATGTCAACCACCAGCATATTAGTAGATTATATCCATTTTAAGAATGTTTTTCTCTATCTACATTTTTTAAAAGAATCTGTGTTCTCATATAATTTATGGGCGCATCAAAGTAGACTTAGTGAGCCTTACATGGTAATAATTTTTGCTTATTTAGCATTTTGCTCCGATGGGTAGGTGTTTTTTGTTTATACGGCCACTGAGATATTAAAAAAAATAAAATTTAAATTTAAAAAACTGATTTGCTAATAGTTCCTCATGGGTATAGGATGTATTTATCCACAATCATACTGAAATGTTGAGGAATAGCTGAGGAAAGAAGTGAAGGCAGCTGACCAAACAGCAGGTTAATTGGAGTGAAAGGGACTCCATTTTTTTTCAAAAAGTGTGTGTGTGTGTGTGTGTGTGTGTGTGTGTGTGTGTGTATGTGTGCCCAGGAGAAGCACAAAAACAGTTTTTAAAAAACGAATAAAAGTTGCCTAGGCCAGTGTGCTAAATAGTTAGAGCATTGGCCCATGCACCAAAGGTTAAGGATTCAATTCCCAGTCAAGGGCATGTACTTGGGTTGCAGGCTGGATCCCCAAACCTAGTCGGGCATCTGAGGGAGGCAACCAATCAATGTGTCTCTCTCATATTGATTTTTCTCTCTCTCACCCACTTCCTCCATCACTCGTAGTCTCTCTAAAAATCAATGGGAAAAATATCCTCAGATGAGGATTAATAACAACAACAAAACAACAACAACCAATAACAGTTTCACTTAAAGGAAGTGATTATCCCTGAGTGAATGAATGTATTACTTTGGGGAATCCATTCTGAGCATATTAGAACACAATGCTAAAAAATTGTTTAAAAGATTATCAAACTTCCAATTAATTTTTAAAATTTTTGGTTATTTAAAAACAAAAAGAGCCCTTCACTTTTTGATATATATATATACTAAAATATTAATGGGAAAAATGATATCTCGTGTTTTCTTGAAAATAATAAAAGAGAAAAGGGGAAATAGATGGGGATAGAGGTACAGCAGGAATTGATGACTACTGAAACTCGGTGATTTTGTAAATTTTCTATTGTAAAGAGATAAAAAAATGCAGACAAGAAAATTAAACAAAATTCCTCTTCATGTTTTTCTAGTAGATACAATAGATAACACATCTCATTATGATATTCAGGGCCCACAGTGAGAAAAATCCCTAAACACCAACTTCTCTGTGGCTTCTAACTAAACCATCTCCCAATCACCTCGTTTTCTTTAGAAGTCTTCAAATGTCTTTTTAAAAAGAAGATAGTACAGCCAAGGCCAAAAGGGCAGAAGGGAGACTCACGTGGCTGCAATGACCACCTCCTCGGTGGTCACGGGCTGGGTGTGGGATCTGTCCTGCAGACGCCGCAGCCTCTGCTCCACGGCCGCGTTTCTCGAACATCGCTTTGGAACAGGTTTCTCATCAAATGACCTTTCCATTTCCTGAGATCAGAAACATTGTAGAATCCCATGAATTCAAGAAAAGGAAATAGGGGCAGCACAATGTTTCCACTCTGTTTCCCTACTCTGGGAAACATCCCGAGAGGTTTGAATCGCTATTGGAAGGGAACGCTTGTGCTATGTCAGCTTGTGGTCACATCAGCCAAGGATCTGATGAGAGGGGAGCCACAGAGGGCCCAGGTGCGGGACACCTCCCTCAGGAGGGTGACAGTTTTTCCCTCAGGAGGGTTGCTGCTCAAACACTTCACACATCTTACCCGGAAAAGCAGCCTCTTGGCAGCAACGCTCAGTTTGGCTCGCTCATCTACCTTTTCTTCATCTGTAAAAAGCCATGAAATAAAAACTAGACATTATTTTTAAAAAATGTACGTAAAGATCCTAAACAGTTTGTCAAGGCTGACCTGAAAATGCTTTGAATATAAGAATGGAAATACTAAAAATTACAGTTGGCAGTATCTCCCTCTTGCAGGAAGCCCATTCTGCACAGTGAAAAGGTGCTCATTTCCATTGTAAGTAACCAAACAAAATTCTGTCTGGATAGTAATTCTCTATTGTTCTATTTGACAAGTTGAGATTTAATAACAGTTTTGTAGGGGAAAGAATGGCTCTTTTTTAATTATTCAATAGCAATAGCAGCAATAACAGGAAACCTACTTCTCTGAAGCAAATCAGTTGTTATTATTGCTGACTCATCAATTTTCTAACTCTCTCTTTGAGAGAGAGATCATCTCAAAACCCAAACTAGATTTTGTTATATTGACAGAAAGAATGCCTTCAAAAGAGTAAGAAATAGGTATACATGGTAATCTCATTCTCAAAAAAAGCAAAAATCTTATTTAAATCTAATCTGGGAGAGATGATGAAGAAGCAAAAGGAAAACAGATACTTGCCCTCAGCAGTTGGCATTTCTGAATTTGAAGTAGACCTAGGAAAGACAATAGCAAATAATAATAATAAAAAATTAGCTGGTGTGAGTAGATGGTCCATATAAATTATCATAGAAATAAAAATGCAATTAAATTTTTTTAAAGAATATCACCCTGATAGTAATTCTAGTTGTGAATATATATGTACAGTTAGCAGACACCATGGAATGCATGTGCACACAGCCCAGCCAGGTGGACACCTTGTGGAGACAAACCAGAATCAAAAGTGACTTATTTAACTTGACTGATGGTAATTTTTTAGACAAACCTTATCATTTCCAGGGATAATCAAGTGATAATATAAAACTAAAATACAACAAGCAGGCAGACATTTTTAAAGTGAATATTCCTCAGTTATTTTAAAATATGGTAAATACTCAACTTGGATTCTAACTTAACAAGGGCATAAAAAATTAAAAACATTAAATGAAGAAAAAATTTTCTTCTTATAGTTTAAGTGCAATTTAAAACAATATCTTGGGATTCTGTTGTCAAGGACAACATTCTTTAAAAATACATTTATATCAGCCAATATTCCGCATCGATTAGGTGGAAAAACACATTCCATTTAAACAGCATCAGGACCATCACTGTGATGACAATCCTGTGAGTTAGTTCCTAGATATACATGTGCCTACCTATCTGATTCCTTTCGTTCTGCTGAGGTTATAGGTTGAGTTCTAAATCTCTCAGAAGTTTTTCTACTTTCACCAGGAGAAAAATAGCGTCGTGGTTTCTGGGACCCTCTCTCCCGTTCCACACTGGTAGGCAAGCCAACTCCTTTGGTTGACCTCTCAAGCCGTGATTGGCTTTTAGAATCATCAGGAGAGAGGATATAGCAGAGGACAGGGGGACAGAGACAGAGAGAGAGAGAATAAAGCAAAGATTTATGCATCTCAGTGAGTCAAGGCACAGACACCACCAAATCCCACTGCATTCCTCTTCCATGCATGCAAAGGAGATGGAGCATTCCAGAGACCCAATCCTCCAGCTCCCCATTAGTAGGCAAAGCAGACTGGTAGTTTTAGAGCCATGTCCTCTATGGTCTGCCCTGCACACTTGTGAGCTAAGCTTAAATGTGACTCAATGCAGGACACAATACAACTTGAGAAATTAATAATTTTGCCAAGGACGTGCAAGTGACACATCAGGAGGACTTTCGAAACATCACCTACAGTTCAGGTTTCTTGCTGGCACTGGCAGACTCCAGAAATGCACTGCGGAGCTGTGCAACAGAGACCTTGGTGTCCAGCATGCTCAGCTCCGAGTGGGGCCCCTCAGCTTTGGGACCCTGCAGCTCCAGCTGTCCCTCTGCAGCTGGGTGCTTACTCTTCAGGGCCTGGAGCTGAGGGGGTGCCGTGTAGTCAGACAGGGAACGGGTGAGGACCTTTCGCTTCCTCTTAGGTGCTTCTTTCTTGTGACCTGTCACTCTGGCATCTTGGGATACAGGCTCGCTCTGAACATAGGAAACCATTTCACTCCTGCCCCTCCTCTCAGCGAACTGGTGCTGAGCTTGAGGTGGGTGTGAAAAACTTTCTGGCTCCTTGCGATGTTCTAAGGTGATGGTGCCAAGAACGGCAGGCTTACCAAAGTCCTCATTTCCAGAAGTGTCCTCGTAGCTTCTCACAAGCCCCCCGTCCTCTAAATCCAAGAGTGCTTTCCTGCTTTTCTTGAGAGCTTCAGCAAGGGGCACATCTTCTTCTGTTTGTGATTCACAAATATGGAGAATGGGGGTATCTCTTCTCTCACCTTCGAGAACCTTCAGGGCAGGAGGCTGGGTGACATTCTGGGTGGCTGGTCCTACCCAGCTGCTCTCAGACACACTTTCTGGGGTTTCTGAGGTCACCAGTATGGCAGTGTGCACGGGATCTGCTGGTTGGACATAGCCACGGATCGGCTGTCGTGCAGAGCCCGCTGCCTTGCTCGTGACCCTATCGAAGGCCGAGTTTTCTGAATGAAAGGACAGGTAATGCCCTGGCACGGGCTGGCATCTCCTGTGAGTTAAGGACTCTGAGGCAAGTTCAGGGCTGCTGCGAGCACTCTCCTCTTTCACCAATTTTTCTCTAACTTTAACTCTTTAAGAAAGAAAAAGGTTTAAGTTGCAAAGAGCAGTAACTACTTAACAGGAAAGAAGCAAGCATGCATCATGGATTACCAATCAATGGAAATAAAACCAACGAGAGAACAATTTGTGAAGAAGCATTTTGGGTAGTTAATATCAGAAGCCCACTGCTTGCAAAATGAATGATTTTGAAACGAGTTTTCAAATATGCATTCAAATGCCAGGGTGGTGCAAAACTAACTCTACCCCTAAAGCTCAGGGGTCAGATGCTGTCCTGGGAGAGAATAGATGCCTTCTAACTAATGAATACCCAGAAGCCACAGACAATCCCTCAATGCTCACCATAGTATGCATGAGGGCACACTGATGCTGGTGCTGTGAACAGCAAGCTTTCTGTATGTACAGGCCTAGCATATGGCTGTGGGTAGTTTTCAGGCATACCTACACCTACTGACCAAATGTGATTTCATCATCTTCTGGAAATGTAAGAGTATTCATGATTATTTTTTTTTTATTGAGTTCAAGATACAACAAATAATCACCTCTTCTAAGCACACACCTCAACATTCACAAGCTTTTCATGCAGTGCAGATTGCATTCATTCATTCAGAAGACATGTCACCAGTTTGTTCATCATTACTACTAATAAGTGTAGCACTCAGAAGAATATTAGAGAAAAGATCATTGTTGAAAGAATTAATAAACTAAACATTTTTCTCTCCTCTGAAATAGCAATTCCTATTAGGCTGTTAGTTAAAAAGTAATGTAAAAAGAGATTACTCTGGTTGTTTCTGACAGCAAAACTTAATCCATTTTAAAAGCTACTTTTCTATGTTTCCATCACGGCAGAAACAAAGTAGCCAAGAGCTCTGGTCATGGGGCTGGAGGAGACTTCTGCACAAAGCCTGGCTCAGCTAGTTCTAGTTGTGTGACCTCGGGCACTTACCTGCCTTAGTCACTTTATCTTTTAAAGAGAAAGAATAGAGACAAAATGTATGTAACTTGGTAAGTATTTGCAAAACCATGGCTTTAATAGTCCTAGCTACCCTGTTTCCCTGAAAATAAGACAGTGTCTTATATTAATTTTTGCTCCCAAAGATACGCTAGGTCTTATTTTCAGGGGATGTCTTATTTTTCCATGAAGAATAATACGGTACACATTTATTGTTAAATGAAAGTAAAGGAAATTTATTACCTGTAAATGGTACGGTAGTATGGTAGTGGTCAACACAAACCAGACAAACTGTGAATCCTACAGTATCAAGAATTTACTCATTTATTCAATGACAATCATGTCATCATCTTCTGGAACATCATCATAACAATCCAATTCCTGAATTTCCTGGTGAATTTCTTGTGACTCCATTTCTTTCAGAATTAGTGGAACAAATCTCTCATGTTTAGCCTGGGGGGGCCTTATTTTCAGGGGATGCCTTATATTTCACTCAGAAGGAAACCTGTAAGTAGGTCTTATTTTCGGAGGATGTCTTATTTTCGGGGAAACATAGTAGTTCTTATTTTTTGAAATACCACTTAGAGAAATGAGAAACCATTGAAACTGCTTAGGAATGGATTACTAAAAATAAAGCATGCTTTTGGAGAAGGAAAGGTGATTTCTTGGGGAATGTAAAACCTTTATTTACTTAAGATTAGTCATCAAAAATAATTATTTCTGATATATACCTTTAGGAATACACTATTTCCTTAAATGACCAATTCACCTTGCTAACTTTGATGTGAACACCTCCATGTTTTTCAACATGAGATGCAGAATATCGAAATATACTTCACTAAAGAAAAATGAAGATACATGAAGGGCAGTTACTATGAATAATTTAGGAGAAAAGGGATTCTGAGTTGTTATTTTTCTCAGACTAGCCAGTGTTGGGTGTTTTCATATTTACAAGTTTTGTTAATCAAAAGAAGACTGAAATGTGGTTCAATGTGGTTCAACTTTTCCCTTGGAATTTGTCCTTCTAATCAGAGACAATCTGAATGTTGTCCTCAGTTGAGAACAAAGACTGTTAGAAACTCAATATATGGGTGCTTTGTCTTGCCAATGACTTATTCATTCTTACTCCTTCAGCCTCTCCCTGCCTCCAATCTGAAAAATGAAATGATAGGGGGTTTTGTCTGCTTTTAAAACTACAGGCACTCTATTTAACTGCTGAGAATTAACTATTGGTGTAGAGATGAGGAGACATGAAAACAAGGAGTCTGCGTGCCTGGTGAAGGGGTATTGACAAGATGGGACACCAGCGGAGTAGCTGGCCTCAGAAGGGGGGCAACCAAAAGTGCCAGATTGACTGGCAGTGTGGGAGGGGGCTAGAGAGGACAAAAACAAGAGGTATAGTAAAAAGGCTTCAAAAAAGAGGAGCAAAAGGAAATGCTAGTATAGGAGATATTAGGACATTTGAAGGAGAAAAGCAAATTATTAGGAAGTAACTTCCAGCAGCTCTTTCTGAACACGTGATTTTCAAATGCACTGCCATTAGAAAGAGGAGAATTAGCACTGGGTGATGTGAGAAACAGCAGGCAAGGCAGCAGGGAGAGAAGCACTCAGGAAACAAAAGCCAAGAGTTTCAATTTGGAATATACCTGGAAGGCCAGTTGATAAGTGAAGGTGTGTCCCCTTCGGAATCTTTCTGCAGAAACCACTCATATTTGAGTTTCCCTGTACTATTATGTACAAAAAACAAAACTTCAGAAAATGTCTATTAAAATGTCCACACATACACAGAAATTAGACTCTTTATAGTTGGAAAAAAGTGGTGTCCCATATATCTGAATTGTTTATAGGCTACGAACTAAATTGCTATAATACTGCAAATAGGGAAGTGGGGTGACAGGTTTGGGATATCAGAAGTTCACATCTGATTGTAACAGACTTCAGTGGTCACAGCAAAATGTACAGAAATGGTGACAGAAAAGTTCTTG